GATGAGAGGGGGCAGCCCCAGTCTGAAGAGTGAGAGGGGCCCTGAGTCAGCACTTGGCTGGGTGTTGAACAGCCCCCATATGAATGGTGCAAGTGGCTCTCCTGTCTGAGACAACTTGAATGATTTTTTTAAATTATTATTATAAGTAATAGTTTTACTGGGCACTGTCAGGATAAATACTATGTATAAAATGAATTTGCTGTGCTAGCGAAAACACCTCATACTGTTGAGTGTACAGTATTGTTAAACATTTAATTCCCCTGGACGCTGTTTGTTTACTTCTTGCCAAAGGTGGACTTTTCTAGTTGTTCTAACATGTTGGCCTTCCTGCTCTCTAGCACAGTGCCCCAGCATTTGATTTGTAAACAAACAAGAGTAAATCCCAACAACATAGGGCTGGTCTATACTTAGCCGCTAGTTCGGCGGCTGGAAATCGAACTTCCTGGTTCGATTTATCGCGTCTGGTCTGGACGCGATAAATCGAACCAGGAAGTGCTCGCCGTCGACTGCGGTACTCCAGCTCAACGAGAGGAGTACCGCGGAGTCGACGGGGGAGCCTGCCTGCCGCGTGTGGACCGCGTCTGAACCGCGGTAAGTTCGAAGTAAGGTATGTCGACTTCAGCGACGTTATTCACGTAGCTGAAGTTGCGTACCTTACTTCGACTTGGGGGGTTAGTGTAGACCAGGCCATACTGTTCTCACTGTGTTTGAAAAAACAAACATAGTTAGATTTAGCGTATTTCCATCTTGTCTGTCACTCTGGGCAGGTCAAACCCTCTTCAAATATCTTTGTTGGCTTTCGCAGGCCCACCTCATTCGATTTTTAGTTTCCTACCCTTGCCTACAAGGCACAGGACAATTTAGCTCCTGCCTCTCAGCTCTCCTGTCTTCCAACTCCTCCCTCATTCTTCCAAACCTGCAAGACTAATGATTCGTTTTGTGTCCTGCTCCCACTCTTGTCCCCATGTCTTCTTGCATTTTGCTTCTTTCTTCCGAAACATTCTCCATGACATGGGCTGAAAACTAATGGGAAAAGTTTAATTTCTATTTGTAAATACTTGTAGCTAGTTTCTGATCTCAGTTACGGTGACAGAGTAACATCTGATTTAGTAAGGGTCTTGTGGGTAAAGCACTAGACTAGGACTTAGGAGGTCTGAGTTCAGTTCTTGGCTCTACCAAAAGCTTTCCCCCCCTGTAAAATGGGGATAATATTTCCTATCTCCCACCCTCTGTTTGACTTGTCTGTTTAAATTGTAACATTGTCCAGCAGGGACAGTCTCTCACTCTTGTGTTTGTTCAGTGCCCTGTTACAATGGGGCCCTGATCTTGGTTGGAGCTTCTAGCCACTACCATACAAATAATAATCGACACCAGTGTAACTGATCATAATCTAATTTTTGGAGTTTAAAGACAGATTAAATGTTTGAAAACTCACTCTTGCTTTCTAGAAATTCTAAGACATTCTGAAGGTACAGTGACTTGAATAATCAGAATATTTTGCAAAACTTCCCAAGACTGTTGTGCAGGCAGATGCATTAGTTTTCAGTGGCCACTGCTGTATAGATTTTCAAGTCCTGGACATCAGGGTGTTGTGCTAAACTAATTAATTTTTTTTCCCCTTCATAAACTAAACAGGATATGAGAGAAATATAAGGTAAAGAGTGACGCTCAAGAAAGATGATATTTGGATGTCTTTCCTTCCGGCAACCCTATGCTGGATTGGTTTTGAACAAAGTCAAAACAATAGAGACTCGTTGGCGTCCTTTGCTGGTAGACTATAAGAACTGCACTATTGCTATTCACATAGCTTTTAAGGACTGGGAAGATGAAACATGGAAAGAGATCCTTCTGAATAGACTTGGCATGACACCTACGCAAGTTCAAGAGCTACTAGATAAAGGGGAAAAATTTGGCAGAGGAGTTATTGCTGGTAAGCAATGTTGAACTTTTTTATTGCACACAGTCCTAAGCATGTTTTAAATTTGTAAACACAGTTTCTTAAGCACAAATTTTGTAACCTGTCTCTAGACAATTTTTTTATAACTTTGTAATTTTTTGTGAGGTACTGTGAAGTTCACAAAAACATTAAAAATAAAATACCAAATAAATACAAAAGGCTAGATTTTGCTGTCCTTTCCACTTGTGCAACCTTATTGATATCAGTGAGATTGAGTAGGTGGAAATGTGATCATATTTGGGCCGAAAGTTGTAAAGCAGTATATGAAATCTTAAAGAGTAGCTGAACTTAGAAAAGTGACTGTAAGGTGCCAATCCTGCCAAGACTTATGTACAAGTTTAACTTTAGGTTCTATGAGTAGTGGCACTGAAGTCAATGAGACAACTTTACACACACAAAGTAAAGCTCATGCATAGGTATCTGTAGGATTGGGGCTTAAATTTTCAAATGCCAGCACCCTCTCCCATCTCTCTCTCTCTTTCATGAGCACACAAAATTGCACGCACACATGCCTGTTACTGGGGGTATATCTATGCTAATTCATACTCCCTAAACTTTCTAATCTTTGTGTGAGCATGTTCAGTAGCCTAATATACATGCAAATATTAGAATTTTAAACCCACAAAATACCATTAGGGGCCAGTGAATTTTTTTGGATGCAAACTTGTGTGTGCACTAAGGTTTTGGAATAATTTAAGCAGATAGCAGTTGTTTGCACCCAAATTGTGTGTATGTGTGTGCATGCACACACAGTTTTTAATGTTGACAAGTGGAAAATTTACCCCTCATCATGAATATTTATGGATCCAATTTGTGTCATTTACAAGTAAAAACGTAATTCTTCAAACTGCTAGCAGTGCAAACTCCTAGTATTCTAAATATCCAGTTAAATTATTCTGCTTTCTTCATTATCACCAGGAATAATAATTTTGGAACTAAGAGTTATCTGACAAGTCTCACAATGCCAGAAACAGAATGGAGTTCAGCTTATTCTTTCATTGACTTCAGGTGCTAACAGAAGTAAACATTTTGATTCAGGGCCTGCAGAGACTACTTATTCTCTTGAGTAGTCCATTTATTTTAATAGGTCTATTTGTGTGAGTGAGGTTATTTACATGATTAAAAGTTTGCGGGATAGGGGCCTTAGGTTTCAATTCTGCAGTGTGTTGCACATTGTTACTTCTGGGCGAATTCATGTCCCCTACAGATTTCTTTGCTGCCCTGCAGAAAAATGACTTTCTGACAGGGAAGCAAAGGGAAGCTGCAAGAGCAGTCACGCACCAATCCCTAGCTGCGCAGGTACATGGTTTCAGGCACCCGGAGCAGCTGGCAGAGAGGTAAATCACTGCAGGGCTGGGGACACCCCAGCCAGTGGCTCCTGTCCTGAGCCAGGATCAGCCGTTAGTCCCAGCTGGGCTGGAGACAGGAGAGGACAGGACTTCCTCTTCCCCTGCAAGGAGTGGCTGGGGCTGTGTCAGACCCACACCCAGAAACCTCCTCCAGCTGCAAGAAGTTCAGCATCCTCCCCTGCTTCCTGCCCCCATTGCTCCTTAGCTGTGGGGTCACTGTACAGGGAGCTGCTCCCCCATCGGCCAATGGACCTCCCAGACACCCTTTTCATGCCTCACCCAGAACCCTCCTAGCCCTCCATACCTCAACCCCTGCATCTGGAACCCCCCTGCACCCAGGCCCCCCTGCCTCTGTACCCCCAACCCTGCACCCAGACCACTCCCCACAGAGCTCCCTGCACTCAAACCCCCACCCTGACAAGCCCCACTCCCTGCACCACCCTGAGCCCCCACATCCAGATCCCTATGCCACTGAGTCCCAACTAGCTGCACCCAGACACCCACCCCATCAAGCACCCCTCCGCTGAGCCCCAACCACTTGGAATCCCCTGCAGAGTCCCATTGCCCCTGCACCTGGAAACCCCCCCAAGATCCAGATGTGCATCCAGATCCCCATACCTAGATCCCTCCACATTGAGCCCCTCCACACTTGGTTGAGCCTGCCTGCCTGCCCCACAGCTGGTGCACCTGGCACAGGGTGGCAGGGCCGCAGGGTGTTTCTGAGGCAGGCCCAGGCCTTGTGTTGTGTCAGGGTTGGGTGCAGCCTCACCACTGAGTCTGTGTCTCGGGGGTGGGGAGGCTGCAGGGTGATCCCCACCTTCATACAGCTGGTGGCCTGTGCGCTCCACTCCCATGCTGGAGCCTCTGCATTTATTGACAAATAAAACTTGCAGAATTTTTAATTTTTTGGTGCAGAATGCCCTCAGGAATAGCACATTGGAAGTCCTCCATTAAGGTGAGCTGGGCTCCATGCTGGCTCATGGAGCTGCCCACATGGTTAGCGTTGTATGGTCAGGATCTTAGTTAGTAAAATAGGTAAGTATGACTTAACACAGTGGTTCTCAAAGCCGGTCCGCCACTTGTTCAGGGGAAAGCCCCTGGCGGGCCGGGCCGGTTTGTTTACCTGCCGTGTCCGCAGGTTCGGACGATCGCGGCTCCCACTGGCCGCGGTTCGCCGCTCCAGGCCAATGGGGGCTTCAGGAAGGGTGGCCAGCACATCCCTCGGCCCGTGCCGCTTCCTGCAGCCCCCATTGGCATGGAGCGGCGAACTGCGGCTAGTGGGAGCCCTGATTGGCCGAACCTGCGGATGCGGCAGTAAACAAACCGGCCCGGCCCACCAGGGGCTTTCCCTGAACAAGCGGCAGACCAGCTTTGAGAACCACTGACTTAACATATATGCACATTGTATTAAAATATTTCACTTTTACTTACTTTACCGATCGTAACTAGGCTTGGAAGGATTATTTTTTTATTGGTAAATGTCAGTATACATCAGTTTCACTGTAGACATATAAACTGACGCAAAAATATGTCAATCAATAATTTAAATTTACAGATAGGCAAAGTAAGAAAAAAGCTGCTTGAGAATTTATTAGAGTTTGATTTAAGAATATTTACTTCGTATATTTTGACGTGACAGTTTGTATTTTAATGGATATAAGGCTTTAACTTTTTGAATCTCAAAGTCTACTGTCTAAAGTCTGTTGGCTGATCTTTACCTCATAGTTTCCAGCAACTATGAACATTCAAATCTATAACAAGAATGCTCAAAAATAAACATATTATCCATTGAAATTATTAAAAAAACAAAAACACAGTTCTGATGAGCTTAATTATAAAACTGTTGTAACACTTGCTCTGAAGCAGTGGTGTCCAACCCACAATCTGGCCTGCTGATATGGTCAGCAGTGGTGTCCAGTTGTGGCCCTTGAAGGCTCTAAATTGTGGCCTTGAGGGTGACTGTTTAAAAAATAAATTTGTATTTGATTACAAGTTGAAAATGTTTTCCCTGAGTTGTGTCCTCTGACTTTTTGACAAACTAAAGGATTTGAATCTGGTCTGTGGGCACAGGGAGACTGTAGGGGGTACTGCCTCCTGAACCACCTCTACCAGCACTATTTCTCGGATTCTGCTGGATCACTCTACTGGATCTAGAGGAGAAAGTAGCTTTGCCTCCTCTGTTGCATGCTTCCCTCATGAGATGTGGGACTTGTAGCTAGAGAAAGATAGGACTCAGTTTGCTCTTCCTGAGTCAAGGAAAATGGAGTATTCAGTATGGCCCCTTGAGCTTTATTTTTAGACACTGCTGCTTTCAAGACTGTAAAAATTAGTAGGTTTGTGCCCAGCTTGTAATAATTTGAGAGGGTCTAAAATGGGCTAGATGCTAAATTTATGTTACTAAAAATGCTGATTGTACATGTATTTACTTGCATGTTGAGCTTCTGAGTCCTCTTGCTGTTATTATTTTACAGTGCTCCTATAGTTAAATGAAGTCATAGCATGCTTTTCATGTCATGTTAGTACATTATTTTGATGGCTGGCTCTTTCAATTGTGCAAATGGTTGAATACTCCAAATATTGTTTTTTATTGTTTGGGCAATGGAGAAGTTTATTACTGTGGTACAAAATTATGACAGAAGTGTTGTTTCTTTGCTTTAAATTATGTTGAAGTAGATGTATGTGTAGTTATGAAGTTTGTATCCATTTTTTGTTTTTAGCCTCATCTATATCAATTCTTTTGTCCGATCAACTCTTGCATTTTCATTTTAATGTTTTTATTTCCTTAGAAACCGTTTATCACATAAACCAAAATATTGTTCCATCTGTACAATACTGAAAATTGTTAGGTAGTACACCTCTACCTCGATATAACGCTGTCCTCGGTAGCCAAAAACGCTTACTGCGTTATAGGTGAAACCGCGTTATGTCGAACTTGCTTTGATCCACCGGAGTGCGCAGCCCCGCCCCCCCGGAGCACTGCTTTACCGCGTTATATCCGAATTAGTGTTATATCGGGTAGCGTTATATCGAGGTAGAGGTGTATGTAGATTTATAATCTCTGCCTAAATCACATGCTAAACTGTGAAAAGGAATGAAGATTTATTTGGCCTTTATTTCATAAAAATGTTTAATCACGGAAAGAGATGAAAGTTCCTGCTGTCTTGTACCCCTTTTACTTTCTTTTGTTGATATTTTAATAAAATAGGGGCAAATTCAGCCGTTATAAGTGGGCACAGTTCTGTTTTTTAAGAGGAGCTGTTCCTGGGCTGAATTTGGCTCCCAAGTTTTCAATAATACCTCAGTAGTTGCAGAACTTCTTTTTAACAGAATTACATTGCACTGAGTTATTAATCTTAGAGCTGCATGCTTCAGCTCATCTTTCTTTTCATCTTGAGTCACGTAGGCTGCCTTTTGCAGAGATTGACACTTGTTGTTTAAGGTGTGTATATTGGATGTAGAGACCTTCCTATAATATAAATTAGTTGTTTTTTTGTGTGGACTGGGAAGTTGTTGAGAATTTATTTTGGAAAACTTCTGTTGGGGAGGGGAACTAACCTGCCAAGTAACTTTTGCATTTATAATACAGGGCTAGTTGACATTGGAGAGACCTCACAGTATCCAGAAAATTTAAATCCTGAAAAGATTTTGGAGCTGGAAAATCAAGCTGTACTCACTAGCCTGGAGCAGAAATATTTGACTGTTGTTTCAAATCCAAGATGGCTACTGGAACCTATTCCTGCTAAAGGGGGCAAAGATGTATGGCAAGTGGATATCCCAAAGGAACTGATCCCTTTGGAACATTAAGTTATATTTGTGCCTACCTGAGTCTAAAGCTGTAGTGTCAGATGTCATTAGTTTAGCTTCATATATGTAGGTGATTTTTATTTTTTCCCCAAGCTGTCTTCTGGAATGTATTTGTGAATGTTTTTTATAGAAATAGATATGAGGCAAAAACTGATTTGAGTTTTTTCTTTGTTTTTTGTGACCCCGTAATAAGAAGATGAAATAATGAGAAAATGTATGGAATTATTTTTCTACCTACTAATGAAGAGACGTCATTGTAACGACCATTATTGATGTCTATATTGTTTTTTAAGTGTCTTGTATGTGTACACATGGACAATTGTAAATGTTTTTTTAATATATTGAGATGTACCTATTTTAAATGTTGAAACCTAAAAGGAGGTGTGGCTGCATCAGGCTGTGGGATGATAATGGAATGAAAAAGTGTTCAGTTATATTTGTTGTAAATAGAAACTCGGGCCCTGGTCCTAGAAAGATTTTATGCATGTGAATAGTCCCATTGACTCCTATATATATATTTTTTTTTAATTTCAGAAGAACTACTCATGTAAATAAAGTTAAGCATGTGTTTAAGTTTTAGGATTAAAGGAGGACTAATTTAAAATTCAGCATCAGTGTTTCAGAGTAGGATACAACTCTTGTTCTAGGACATAGGTCTTATTTTGAAATAAAACATGAATTTCTGCCCAGATGTTTGTAAGCATTTCATTTTCCCCTACATATGTAGGTAACAAAACACAAACATGCAGGATAATTTAGTTCAAATGATGGATTCAGTCTGCCTATTCTCCTTCACCTCCTACCCTAAGAGGGTAGCTGGTGTTGCTATGCTTTCCAGCGGTGGTTACATTTCATTAGTGGGATGACGCAATTTCTTTATAACAGTTTAAGTTTATAAAGTGCCTTTTATCCTTCGGCATCAAAAGTGCTATATAAATAGAAGTTATATCTAATAATATTCAGACACTCCTTTGCATTAATGATAGAGTTTTTGGTTCCCCTTTATAGGCTCTATAGCATGACTAGTACTTGGGAGGACAAGAACATGTTTGGTGTTATAGCTGCATTTGTAAAAAGTGTAACTGAACAAAGGCAATAGCTTTTAGTATTCTAATTTAAGATGGAAAACATTGGTAAATGGTGGGGAATTAAATACTGAATTAAAATTAAGCACAAAAAAAATCACTATTCTGCTCAAAGATTACAAATTAATTGACAAGGGGCAAATTCAGGCTTGTCCTCAGGCCCCAGCTAGAGCAGTCACACTGAATATTGGCTCCTGCACAGGGCCACCGCTGTCCTTGCCCACCATAGCACTCTACTCCATAGAACCCTCTGTCACCTGACACACACAGCTAGAGGAGGCAGGCTGGGCTGGGCAGGAACAGTAGTTGATGGATTTGCAATTATGTGGATCCATTAATAAGTCTCCTCTGCATGACGGGGAACATGTATTTAAGATGCTATTGCAGCACTGGTGAAAAGCCTGTGTTACCACTTTTGAAATTTTGGGTATCTCTGTGGTTCTCTTCTTGCATGAAGTCCAGCTTGGCAGGGGTGAGGATGTTCCCTAAAATAAAGATTGCCATATTGCTTTGGACTTCTGATTGAGATCATTGAACATGTTTCAACCTCTTTTAGTTTTCCCATTGCCACTTTCAAAGAAATTCATCTGGAGCTATATACTGTTTTATAATTCTGAGCTTTAAATTTAGTATATTTTTCAGCCTCTCCTCTGATCACTTAAGAGAGATTTTTTTTTTACTGTATTGTTACTCCCCTATCCCCTTCTCTTCAGTGGAGGAAATGTAACTGTTAATAGAAATTTAGATGTCTCAATGCAAATACGGGTTAAATGTAATTGTTACTACCCCCATGAGTTTTAAATATGAGGATTGTGGGTATCTAAATTGTCACAGAATTCTGGACTCCTTGAAACTAGAAATGAAAGAGACCTATTCGGAAATCCAGTCTGTCCCCCAATGGCCAGAACATAATTCTTCCCTGGAGTACATTTTCTAATGTTTATCTACACAGCTTTATATGTCCCCAGGTGGCTTCCACCAGCTCAACTGAAAACTATTAGACAGGGAGAAAGATCTCACTGCCAGGAAGCTTTTCTTGATAGTCATTGTACATTTTTCCATTTTTAACTTCATCCTGTTAATTCTAGTTCCCCTCCTGGAATTTCCCTAAATAATTGTCCATCCGAGGTGCTTGCACCCTTCAAATACGCTTTCCTCCTCCACTTTGTTTTTTTTTCTTGGCCTTTTTTTTTTTTTATACAAGCCTTTTATAATTGTTCCTGATAAGCCAATCCCTACAACTATTATAGTTCTCTGAACTCTCGCCAATTTGTCAGTATCTTTTCTGGCACTGAAGTGAACTGAATGTAATACTCCAGGGAGTTAATGTTGTGGCTACAAAACAGAAATTTACTTTTTGAGATTCTGTTTTTTTTAATAGTTGTTGTAAAGTACTAGTACAAATACAAGAAGTTTACAGATAATTAGATCTTTTTCCCTTAAACCTTCACTGGGAATCATGCCAAAGGAATGGATTTCTACCGACGAGCCCCAGTTCTGTGAATTCTGAGTGCCAGGATTGGGGTATATGATCCCTATGTCTAAAAGAGCTGTTAGAGTACTACTACTTTGACTTGTTTTACAGCTGGTGGGTGGAAGCATGCATTTTTAAGAATCTCTAACTCAGGTTTGTTTATGCTGACTACCTGGGAAACTTAAGTGTAGAGAAGAAATAAATACTCCCATTACTTAGACTTTTTAACCAGTTTAATTGTATATTATTTTTAAAAGACATGATCTGGTTCAGCCATTATAAACTGTAATTTGCCAGTCACAAGAGTTCTGCAGAATTTGAGTTTGCAGAATCACAGCTGGCAGAAGGCTCTGTGTTACTATAGCAGTTGCATAAAGAACATGGCTGACCTGGAAAAGTAAATTGTTGGTTGAGAGTTTCTGTCAAAGGAATAGATGAAGTTGCTGCCATCAACATTGAAAACCAGGGGTTCCAAAAGGACATTAAAGTAGTAAACTGAGCATTCATGAACACAAAGTCCTGGTAAGTTGCAGGTAAACGATGGAGTCCCATTGAGGGTTCAAGCCCTGTTTCTGAAGTCAGAGGAAAATATGGACAAATTGAGCTGGTGGCATTAGTATCCATACATGGATTTCTTTGCTGGTTATAAATACCATTTTGAATGGAGTTTTCAGTTCCATTTTCCAAAGGTGTAGAGACTGGGTAGGAATGGTTCATTTTGCCATTCCCTGCATTTATTGAATTCTTTTGTAGATTGTTATGCATTGTTTCTTTTAGACAAGGTGTTTGCAAATCATTTGGCTGAATTGAATCTTGAAAGGAAATATATTTCTTTGGAGCGGCTGGCTTTCTTCTCTTCAAATTAGGACTGATGGGATTTGGCTGTTCATTACTTTTGATGCCAACTCTTCTCTTCATTCTCTGAATGAGAAAGGGGCACCCTCTTCTAAAATATGGATTGTGGTACAACTGGAACAAAATCCCAAACATTTTTTAAATTTAACATGTAACAATAAGGTTCAGAATGTTTTAACTTGTGAAACAAACATAAGACACCTTGCCATAAATAATGTTGGTACCTATTGTCTACATGCTGTGAACTGTCATACTAAACCTCAGATTCTCTCTAGTAATAAAAAAGCTATTGAGTTCTGTGTCCCTTAGTCAGATAAAACTCCCATTTAAATTAATAGGAGTTTTGCCTAAGTATAAAATGTAGGATCTAGGTATGGTGTGACCACTTTGTAAGACATGAAAGATTTTTCCAAATTTCATAGCTGAATGACTTGTTTTTTTTAATTTAATTTAAGTGTAATTATAGTAACTGGAGAAGGAAAAGACCTAAAATGCATCTGTCTATCCGTCTGAGGCAATGGTGTGGTGTTCTCTACAATACTTTTTCTAGTGCTTTGCCTAATCTCGTTTTAAATGTCCCAAGCCATAGGCTTTTCACCACTTGTCCATACTCTAACAGGGCTCACTATCAGGAAGTTCTTCCTGATAGTCAGCCTATTAATCCCATTACTCCTAATTATACACCATAAGTAATTTATTGACAGTTTTAGTATTTATACATTTATATTTCTTGTTACCTGTTATCTTTTCCCTATGCTAACACACTCAGTTCAAAAACTATATTGTTTATGACTTTAAGGTTTCCTCACATACCAGCCACATCAGCCTTTTTGGTAGAGGCTGACTTGAGCCCTCTTTTCTAGATAGTACATAGATATGTTCATATAGATAAATTATTTAAACACTGTCTGTCTTTTGATTTTGCTGTATACAATTAATGTAGCTAGAATCCTCTAATATACATTACTTTGAGGACTTTTAAATCATTTCATATTTAGCAGTGTAGGCGGAAGACATTTGGGGCCAGATCTTCAGCACTACTCCAGCAGCATAAAGCAGCTATACATTCTACTTAAAAGGACCTGAGGAGTCCCCTAACTAAGGCCTAGTCTATACTAGGACTTTTACATTGGTATAGCTACACCTCTCAGGGGTGTGAAAAATCCACACCTTCAGAGAGACGTAGCTATAGCCACCAAACCCCTGGTGTAGACAGTGCTAGGTCGACAGACCTAGCTACCACTTCTCAGGGAGGGGAATTACCTACACTGACGGGAACCCCTCCCATTGGAATTATGTACACTGAAGCACTACAGCAGTGCAGCTGTGCCACTGTAGCAGTTTAAGTATACACAAGCCCTAAGTGAAGCTGCTGAAGTGGCTCCAATGCCACAGTGTGTACAACCTCTTTTCCTCCAGAGGCACAAGAGGTATAGCTTAGAGAAAGGGTCTGGTCCTTGTCACAGATCCTAGTGAGTGCCCCTTCCTGCCCATCCACTAGGATTGCTGTGAGTGGGAATCCAAGTCTCTGTGCTCTGAATTCCCAGGGGGTGAACCTCAGGGTGCAGACCTTCCTTCCAAGTGCTGGAATTTGCTGCCTACTCCCTCTTGGCACAGTGCTGACCCTTCAGACACCCCAGTACTTAAACACATTCTTCTCCCAGAACTCCACCCCAAAAAAAGTGACGCTTCTGGTTTACAGTTTAACTCCCTAAGGCCCAGGTAGTAATTGTGAAACAG